GAAGAAGAGGCAGGGTAAGATAGGGAAGGAGAGGCAGGGCAGAACAGGAAGGGAGAGGCAGGGCATGACAGGGAAGGAGAGGAAGGGCAAGACAGGGAAGGAGAGGCAGGGCAAGACAGGGAAGGAGAGGCAGGGCAAGACAAGGAGTGAGAGGCAGGTCAGAAAGAGAAGAAGAGGCAGGGCATGATGGAGAAGGAGAGGCAGGGCAGGACAGGGAAGGAGAGGCAGGGCAAGACAGGGAAGGAGAGGCAAGGCAGGACAGGGAAGTAGAGGCAGGGCAGGGCAGGACAGGGAAGGAGAGGCAGGGCAGAAAGGGAAGAAGAGGCAGGGCATGACAAAGAAGGAGAGGCATGGCAGGACAGGAAGGGAGAGGCATGGCAAGACAGGGAGAGGCAGGGCAAGACAGGGAGTGAGAGGCAGGGCATGACAGGGAAGGAGAGGCAGGGCAGGACAGGGAAGACGTGGCAGGGCAGATGTAGAGAGGCAGGGTGGGACAGGGAGGGAGAGGCAGGGCATGAGAGGAAAGGAGAGGCAGGGCAAGCCAGGGCAGGCAGACCACAGCAGACAAGGCAGGTAGGACAAGAAACAGCACCCATGGGAGGCTGGTGTGTGTAAAGCAGGCATGGCAGGTAGATGTATACCTGGAGAGGGTTTCAGGCGTCCATTTCACCGCAGCCCAGTTTGTGACCGAGCCTCATGGTAACAGCCTATTTGATCAGGGCCTGATCAAACAGGCTGTTACTGCTGGCTGCACGCAACCCAACGTACGAACCACAGGCCGACTGGTCAGGTACTGACATTAGGAGCCTCTCCAGTTCCTTCTTGAAAACGGCCAGGGGTACATAGAGCAGACATAGCACGCTGGGGTATTCAGAGCAAGGTGGGGTACATAGAGCATTCATGGCAGGCTGGGGTATACAGAGAAAGCTGTGGGTGCATAGAGCAGGCATCGAACGCTGTGGTACATAGAACAGGCATGACTGACTGGTGTATATAGAGCAGGCATGACACACTGGGGTATGCAGAGCAGGCTTGACAGTCTTGGCCATAAAAAGTAGGCAGAGCAAAGCAAGAACAGAAGGACAAGCCAGAGCAGGCAGGACAGGCTAGAGTTTGCAGGGCAGGACAGGCTACAGCAAGCAGGGCAGGACAGGCTACAGCAGGCAAGGCATGGCATGACAGATCAAAGCTGACAGAACAAAACAGGCCAAAACATGCAAGGCAGAACAGCCTAGAGTAAGCAAGTTAGGACGAGCCAGGGCAGGCAAGACAAGCAAGAACAGACAGGACAGGCACAACAGGCAGGACAGGCACAACAGGCAGGACAGGCACAACAGGCAGGACAGGCACAACAGGCAGGACAGGCACGACAGGCAGGACAGGCACAACAGGCAGGACAGGCACAACAGGCAGGACAGGCACAACAGGCAGGTCAGGCACAACAGGCAGGACAGGCACGACAGGCAGGACAGGCACAACAGGCAGGACAGGCACAACAGGCAGGGCAGGCACAACAGGCAGGACAGGCACAACTTGCAGGACAGGAAGGACAGGCAGGACAGGCAGGACAGGCACAACAGGCAGGACAGGCACAACAGGCAGGACAGGCAGGACAGGCAGGACAGGCACAACAGGCACAACAGGCAGGACAGGCACAACAGGCAGGACAGGCACAACAGGCAGGACAGGCACAACAGGCAGGACAGGCACAACAGGCAGGACAGGCACAACAGGCAGGACAGGCACAACAGACAGGACAGGCACAACAGGCAGGACATTCACACAGGCAGGACAGGCAGGACAGGCACAACAGGCAGGACAGGCACAACAGGCACAACAGGCAGGACAGGCACGACAGGCACGACAGGCACGACAGGCAGCACAGGCAGGACAGGCACGACAGGCACGACAGGCACGACAGGCAGGACAGGCACAACAGGCAGGACAGGCACAACAGGCAGGACAGGCACAACAGGCAGGACAGGCACAACAGGCAGGACAGGCACAACAGGCAGGACAGGCACAACAGGCAGGACAGGCACGACAGCAGGACAGCACAAACAGGCAGGACAGGCACAACAGGCAGGACAGGCACAACAGGCAGGACAGGCACAACAGGCAGGACAGGCACAACAGGCAGGACAGGCACAACAGGCAGGACAGGCACAACAGGCAGGACAGGCACGACAGGCAGGACAGGCACAACAGGCAGGACAGGCACAACAGGCAGGACAGGCACAACAGGCAGGACAGGCACAACAGGCAGGACAGACACAACAGGCAGGACAGGCACAACAGGCAGGACAGGCACAACAGGCAGGACAGGCAGGACAGGCACAACAGGCAGGACAGGCACAACAGGCAGGACAGGCACAACAGGCAGGACAGGCACAACAGGCAGACAGGACAACAGGCAGGACAGGCACAACAGGCAGGACAGGCACAACAGGCAGGACAGGCACAACAGGCAGGACAGGCACAACAGGCAGGACAGGCATAAGGCCAGGGCAGGACTGGCCAGAACAGGGAGAGGACAGGGCAGAAAGGCAGGCAGGAAAGGAGGCAGACAGGCAAGCAGACAGGCAGGCAGACAGGAAGGGAGGCAGACAGGCAAGCAGACAGGCAGGCAGACAGGCAGGCAGGATGGGAAGGAACACGGGCAATTCTGGCAGAAAGGCAGGCAGACAGGAAAGCAGGCAGGCAGGCAGGCAGGCAGGCAGGCAGGCAGGCAGGCAGGCAGGCAGGCAGGCAAGGCAGGCAGGCAGGCAGGCAGGCAGGCAGGCAGGCAGGCAGGCAGGCAAGGCAGGCAGGCAAGGCAGGCAGGCAAGGCAGGCAGGCAGGCAGGCAGGCAGGCAGGCAGGCAGGCAGGCAGGCAGGCAGGCAGGCAGGCAGGCAGGCCAGGCAGGCCAGGCAGGCAGGCAGGCAGGCAAGGCAGGCAGGCAGGCAGGTAGCCAGGTAGGCAGGCAGCCAGGCAGGGCCAGGTAGCGCAAGGCAGGGCCAGATAAAGCAGGGAAGGCCAGGCACGGGTCAGGCAGGAAAGATAGGGTAGGGTAAGCAGGGATAAGCAGGTCCAGGCAGGGCAGGGCCAGCCAAGGCAGGGCCAGCCATGGCAGGCAAGGCAGGGTCAGGCAGGGTAAGGCAAAGGAGAGTCAGGCAGGACAGGCAGGACAGGCAGGGTAAGATAAAGCAGAGTCATGCAGGATAGGCAAGGTCAGGCATCCCAGGGTCAGGCAGGGCAGGTTCAAGCACGCAGGGTCAGGCAAGGCGGGAACAGAAAGGCAAGGCAGACCAGGCAAGGGTCAGGCAGGGCAGATAGGGCAGGGTAGGCAGGGATAGGCAGGTCTAGGCAGAGCAGGGCCAGACAGGGTAGGCAAGGCAGGGTCAGGAATGGCCAGGCAAGGCATAGTCAGGCAGGACAGGCTGGGTCAGGCAAGCCAAGGACAGGCTGGGTCAGGCAAGCCAGGGCCAGGCAGGGCAGGTTCAGGCACGGCAGGGCCAGGCAAAGCAGGGACAGAAAGGCAGTGCACGGCAGGGAAAACAAGGTAAGGCAAAGCAAAGCAAGCCAAGGCAGGAAGATCAGGTGGGCAAGGCAGGAAAGGCAGGCAAGGCAAGGCATGCCAGGACACTACAGGGTAGGGCAGGGTAAGACAGGCAGGGCAAGGCAAGGCACGGCAAGGCAAGGCAAGGCACGGCAAGGCAAGGCCAGGCAAGGCCAGGCAAGGCCAGATAAGGCCAGGCCAGGCCAGGCCAGGCCAGGCCAGGCCAGGCAAGGCCAGGCAAGGCAAGGCAAGGCAAGGCAAGGACAAGGCAAGGCAAGGCAAGGTAAGGCAAAAGCAAGGCAAGGCAGAGCAAGGCAAGGCAGGGCAGGGCAAGGCAAGGCAAGCGAAAGCAAGGCAAGGCAAGGCAAGGCAAGGCAAGGCAAGGCAAGGCAGTGCAGACCAAGGCAAGGCAAGGGAAAAGTAAGGCAAGGCAGGCAAGGCAAGGCAAGGCAGGGAAAGGTTAAGGCAAGGCAGGGCAAGCCAAGCCAAGCCAAGCCAAGCCAAGTGAAAAGCAAGGCAAGGCAAGGCAAGGCAAGGCAAGGCAGGGCAAGGAAAGGCAAGGCAAGGCAATACAAGGCAAGGCAAGGCAAGGCAAGGCAAGGCAAGGCAAGGCAAGGCAGGGCAGGGCAGGGCAAGCCAAGACAAGGCAAGGCAGGGCAAGGCAAGGCAAGCGAAAGCAAGGCAAGGCAAGGCAAGGCAAGGCAAGGCAAGGCAAGGCAAGGCAAGGCAAGGCAGTGCAGACCAAGGCAAGGCAAGGGAAAAGTAAGGCAAGGCAGGGCAAGGCAAGGCAAGGCAGGGAAAGGTAAGGCAAGGCAGGGCAGGGCAAGCCAAGCCAAGCCAAGCCAAGCCAAGCGAAAGCAAGGCAAGGCAAGGCAAGGCAAGGCAAGGCAAGGCAAGGCAAGGCAAGGCAGGGCAAGGAAAGGCAAGGCAAGGCAATACAAGGCAAGGCAAGGCAAGGCAAGGCAAGGCAAGGCAAGGCAAGGCAAGGCAAGGCAAGGGAAAGGTAAGGTAAGGCAGGGCAAGACAGGGAAAGGTAAGGCAAGGCAGGGCAAGACAGGGAAAGGTAAGGCAAGGCAAGGCAAGGCAGGGCAAGCCAAGCCAAGCCAAAGCCAAAGCCAAGGCAAGGCAAGGCAAGGCAAGGCAAGGCAAGGCAAGGCAAGGCAAGGCAAGGCAAGGCAAGGCAAGGCAAAAGAAGGCAAGGTATTGTAAGGCAAGGCAAGGCAAGGCAAGGCAAGGCAAGGCAAGGCAAGGCAAGGCAAGGCAAGGCAAAGCAAGGCAAGGCAAGGCAGGGTAAGGCAAAAGAAGGCAAGGTAGTGTAAGGCAAGGCAAGGCAAGGCAAGGCAAGGCAAGGCAAGGCAAGGCAAGGCAAGGCAAGGCAAGACAAGACAAGGTAAGGCAGGGCAGGGCAGGGCAGGGCAGGTCAGGCAGAGACTGAAAAAGAATTGGAGACTTAATATTTACAGTATTGTTGTAACAGTGTAGTGTTGTGAGTCTCCTGCAACCAGCTATGTCTGATACTGGTACAATCTTACTATCTCTCTCGCCTGACACATTCCTGCCTCCCTCCACTCCACTCCCTCCTCTTTCTTACCCCTCGTCCCATACCCACCCTCTCTACATCCCCTCCAACCTCTCCTCCATAACACCCGCCCCTCCACCCCTCAGTCTCGCTCTCTTTCACTGTTGAGGATAATGCTACAAGCTAAGTCAAGGATTAAATAGTGGACTGTAGGGACACTTAACTTGATAGACGGCTTTCGCCCACACAGCCGTCCCTGCAGGCTATGTCTTGAGAAGCTGTCATATGCATCCCTCAATGGGCTGGAAAATAAATTATGGGTGAGTATAATTACCCCTAGGGGGTATTATGTCAGCATATCTCAGAAACTGAATGCTGACTGGAACCAATACTCATGTGTGTGGACTCACAAATCCTCATTTCACTGGGTATTGGTTCATTAATAAACTTAAAAGGATATATGCTGCACAGCCGATCTACCCCTATCATGTATATTAAATGTACCTGGGTATTTGTAGCTGACCTGTAGTTGCACCCTTGATTGAAGCAGATGTGTTCTTTGAAGAATGTCACACACACTCCGTTAGAATCGCAACACTCGTTACACTGTTCATCTAGATTTGTTCACCATAATGTCACTAAAGAAGAAGATCACACTTCTCTGCAAGTGTCTTGATATTGTCTTTGAGATACTTTTATGCACAAAAACATGCAGACGGTGTTCTTTGTTGGTTATCCCAGCGTCAATGTATCCCCCAGCAGGGTTACAAGCAATCTAAAGACGCCACAGCCTCCTATGCCGCCAATGCTCCTAGCACAAAGGAAAAGCTGACCTAGCACATTTCCCCTCCTTGCCAACTTCCATCAGGAAGAAAAGCAGAATGCTTGATTTTTGCTGTCTAAGCACAGACAACAATGTACACTATCTTTACCATGGTAATAAAGTACTAAGGTAAGAGATTGATTGTATCTTATTTAAACTACACACTTGCAACAGTGGTCTCTTGCAAAGAGCCACGTGACCATGTAACTGGTACACGCTGGTTAAACATCTGCTGGTAATTACTTATGTAACAGTAAACAAGATGCTTGCCCCTTCTGAAAGGGTTGGGCCCCTCAGGACTGAAAAGGGCTGAAAGGGGCTGAAGGGGGCTGATACCCCCCTTATGGAGAAAATTTCTCCACATTCACCCCTCCAAATAAGTCAGTAAATTTATTCAGGTATACACGAATACAGTTACATAGAATTATCATACATAGCAGCATATGTGTAGAGAACCTGGGATAACCCAAAAAAGTGACAGAGTGACTTATTTCCATTGGGGTCCTTTTACCTTATTATTATAATATAAAGGTGATAATATCTTGTTATTATTCTATAAAGTAGATAACATCTTATTATCATACTATTAAGACTATCTACAAGAGAGTCATAAAGACTACTACACGAGGGTCATTAAGACTATCTACAATACATGTCATTACTAGGAATAAGGTAAAATTACATGTGTGTTAGCTAAAAAAATAAAAACTCATCCTCCTCTGTTTCTGTAGCTACATTCATAAGACACCTTTTGGCACTCTTCTTGAACTGGTTCATGCTATGACTGGCTTTGACACGTGCAGGCAGTCTGTTCCATTCCTTTATTGATGTACAATAAAAGGTGATTGAAGCCTGGCCACTGACTGTGGATACTACAAAGTTGTGCTCTCTTCCCCTAGTACTATGATTGCTTTGGTTCCCAGCCTTGACAAAATTGACAGCAAGATATTCTGGACATTGTCTGTGAGCAATTTTATAAACATGATTTAGCTTCAGTTGTTTTACTCTGTCTTCAACATTCAGCATATCCAACTGCTGTAATTCATTCTGGCCTACAAGCTCTCTTGGTCCCAGGCCCAGGATGAATCTTACCATTTTGTTCTGGGTGATTTGCAGTCTATCTTTCAGTTTTTTTTGTAGAGGCAGAGTACCATAAAGAGCAGGTGTAGTCCATATGACACTGTATAAGGGCTAGACATAGTGTCCTGCGAGCCTCAGTAGGTAGACACTGTGCTTGTCTATAGAGGAATTTCAGTCTGGCATTCGCTTTCTTTACTACACTCTTCCCTATCAATTCTCCTGACATGCACGGGTCAAAGGGGATTCCCAGATATCTTATGAGGAAGCTGAAGTGATGGGCTCCCCATTACACTGGACATTGAAATTGTTTACACTTCTCAGTTTATGTTTCGTGCCAAAGAGAATGGCTTCAGTTTTCCCGAGGTGTAATGATAATTTGTTGTCTACTAACCATTTGCTGCAGGACTCCAGTTCCAGTGTTAATACATTAGCAATATCTTGTGGGTCTTTACCTGACACTAACAGAGCACTGTCATCTGCATACAGTAGGAGTTTGCACTTGACACTGACAGGCATGCCATTAACATAGCAAAGGAAGAATAAGGGACCCAGAATACTACCTTGGGGAACTCCACATACTATTGGCAGGGGTTCTGATTCCATTTTGTTTATTTTGACAATTTGTCTCCTGTTGCTAAGGTAGGACTTAAACCAGTCTACAGAACCTATACTGTGATGTAGTTCAACTATGCTTGGTAGATCACTAAGGGAGACCTAATTTAACCAGTTATATGGTCACACCTTACCTTGGCAAATAGCTGTCAGACACGGCTTTCGGCTTAAGTCTGAGGTCTTTTGTTCTTGACGGCATCAGATCTCAGCGTCAGGTCATAACACGTGGTCTACACCTTATGGGGAAGGGGAGTGCTTAGAGGACCATATGAGCAAGGGAACAGCTGAGCAAAGGGAGGTTGTTGGTGACAGGTTCAGTGAGTGAGAGCTCTGGACAGCCACATGTGTAGTGGACCACGCATTGTAAATCTCGGGTCAGCTGGTCGGTGAATTAAGAGTGAGTACTAGTTTATGTTACTGAGAACATCTACCCCTTCCCCTGGTAATAAGTCTCATAGGTCAATGGTTATATTATGTAAATTTCCATCAGGATATGTTGTATTCCAGCCCTTTTATGTTATTAAGTAAACTATAGCCATAGTTCCCATTTTGTACCTTCACATGCTATTTCCTATTCTGTTAAGCACTGGGATAACACAGGAGACATGCTCATTTGCTGGGATACCTCAGGCAGAGTGGGTAAAGGTCTCACAATACCGATAGCTTGAAATTTCTTATATAATATATTGTAATGACAGTATCGAAGGCCTTTTGCAGGTCTAAGGTTACCATACCTATGAGGTCCCCCATTGACATTTCAGTTCTCATGTAATCCAACAGATTAATTAGGGAGGTGTCGGTTGAGTAAGATCTTCTAAAGCTTGATTGATAGTTATGGAGAATGTTGTCATTAAGGTAGTTAACTACTTGACAGTACACTGCCCTCTCTAGAATTTTGAATATTTCACTGAGTATACTAACAGGCCTACAGTTGCTTACATCAAACCTACTATTTTTCTTGAAGATAGAAGTAACTCTGACCTCCTTGAACCCCTCCGGTACGGTATTAGTGGTGATGGGCAAATTTATTGTGTGAGCAATAGGGAATGACAATTCAGAAGCACCATCTTTTAGGAACTTAGACATTAGGTTATCAGGGCCAGTGCTCTTAGCTGGGTTTAACCTGCTTAGTTCTTTTTGAATAAAGTCATGAGATACACTTACTAGTTGACAACTGTTAGAGGTTACCCCTTTATTGGTATAGTATGTTTGAAACTTATCAGAGTTAAAGGCATTTTATGCAGCTGGTAGTTTACTTACTAGTGTTGATGCGACAGTTGTGTAGCAGGAATTAAAACAATTTGCCACTTTGGTTGTTTCGTGACATACCTTGTTATCAATAGTGAGTACTATGTCAGACCTATCTACTGGTTTATGGCTATACCCCAACTGTTTTAGTTGTTACCAGAGCTTTCTGGGGTTATGCTTATACTCTTCAATTTTTGAGCAATAGTGCTTTGCCTTTGCTCCTTTTATAAGTCTCTGTACTCTGTTCCTCACCCTTTGGAATTCGTTTAGTGCTGCAATATCCTGTCTGTTTGTTTTGAATCTTTTTAGCAGCTGGTCTCTGAATTTCAGTGGTCAGTCGTCAGTGTTCAGTGGTCAGTCGTCACGTGAGGTCACAGACCCTGAGCTGCTTGGGGATTAGCGTGGACGGTTACAAAGCATGGCTTGCTTCTACAGTGTTTTAAAAGCTGAGGTTGGAGAGTTGAAGGAGGAGGTCTTGCTTCTCCAGGAGGAGATTAGGAGGCTGAAGGTCCACCTCAATGGGCCTGGGAGAGAGTGTGAGGTGGTTGGAGATGTGGGGAATGAGGCTTCTAGCAGTGAGGTGCAGTCTGTCTCTCACTGTGAGGAGGCTGTAGGTGGGGTGGTAGCAACGGCTACCAGCAGTGAGGTGCAGCCCAGCACCTGCTACAAGTGGCGAGTTGTTCACAGTAATGGGAGGCGCATCAGAGTAAGGAAAGTTAAGAGTGCAGATCTGAAGGTAGGAAATCGCTTCTCTGTTCTCCAGGATGAATGTACTTCAGTGGCCAGTGAAGGTAAGGGTACTACTGCCCCTGCTAATGAAGGTAAGCGCATTCTTGTGGTTGGTGACTCTCAGGTAAGATATGTTGATCGTGCTTTTTGTAATAGGAATAAGAAGATGAGAGATAGAGTGTGCTTCCCTGGAGCTGGTGTTGGGGACATTGTCAACAGACTGGATAATATCATGTCAGGTAATGGGAACAAGCCCATTATCTGTCTCAGTGCTGGTGGAAATGAATATTGGGAAGGGTAGGAGAGAAGAGCTGCTAGATAAGTACAGGTCAGCTATAGATTTCATTAAGTCTAAGGGAGGGATCCCAATCATATGTAGCATCTTGCCTAGAAGGGGAGTAGGAAATGAATGGTTGTCTAGGGCAATTGGTGTAAATTGCTGGCTAGACAGATACTGCAAGGAACTTGCAATCCCATTCATTGACAACTGGAACAACTTTTATGGCAAACATG